AGGAATTCTTCCTTTTACAAGAAGGATTTACATGAATAAGTTCAACCACCCTTTCATCTTGGAGTATAAAGTTATGTGTAAAACCCATTCCACATAACCTCGTATTAATAACTTGAAACGCCACAATAACAGTTAACAACTCGTACTATGGAACTAGTTCTCCAATTTCATCAAACACATCCTCAATGTGAACAACACTACTTATTTCATGACTTCAAAGGGGCTACATAAAACAAAATTTAACACCACATTACAAGCATAACCGACATAGGACATTATTTATAATAAATTTGATAAGTTGGTAACTAGTGACATAAACGTATTTTCTAGTTCAAAAGCTTCAAAGCTTTCCATTGTTGATTTTTGCGTTGAGTTGTTTTTCGTTGTTGATTTGGTGGTTGTTGCTGGTTAACATTAAAGCTCTTCGATTCTTCTGAGTCTCAGTAGGAAGCTTTACATCCGTTGCTAATCCAACAGCTTCAAGAAATCTTATTACGTACCAAGTAATATCAATTTGCCACCACTCTAGGCCGTGCCGAGCTGAGTGTTCAAATGCATGGTGATTGTTATGCCAACCTTCTCCATGCGCCAGCAATCCAATTAACCTAAACATATTTGATTAACTTTACTATTAATTGCTATGTAATTAAATAAGAATGCATTTAAACTACAAATAAAAATACAACAATACCAGTTGTTTCGAGACAAATCACCAGTATCCCATACTTGTTGCCCCCAAGTATGGCAAATTGAATTTATTCCAAAAGTAGCATGGAGAAAAATGACTGACCTCACACCCTATATAATAATATAAAAAACACAGCAAGAAGAATATTGTGATTACCAAAACAACAAGAATATTTTGATTAATAAAGCAACAAGAATATTTCGATTACCAGTCCCCAAACCAGAAAGGGTGATCCTCCCAAAGCGTAGAGGAGAACTCCAAAACCAATTGCATGAAGGGGGTACGTATAATGAAGAAATCTATAGAATGGCTGCCTTTTCAAGTCTCCAACATTCTTTAGTCGTGCTTCATACTGCAAAGTTTCAAAGTTAACCAAGATCATCATTTATGCGTCGATATTTGTAGACATGCGATCAGATTATGTGATAAGAGAAATAGACGCAAACTTGTATAGAACTTAGCCTGAGCAATATTTATAAACATGTGAGAGGTCTAGATAGTTTGCGTACACTTCCAAACCGAGAACGATAATCGAAGATCCAACCAATGTGACTATACCAAAATCCTCTAACTGGACTATGAGGGTCCTTCAATGTGTCTGTAAATTGGTGGTGAGATCGGTGTATGCTCACCCATTCAAGCGGACTTCTCTGCAAACATTTAAAAAGTACAATGAGTCTAACAAAATCTTCTCTGCAAACATAAATAAAAGTATATTTACCTGAAACGATAGGACTCCACAGTAAGCAAAAAAATATTCAAGCCATTTGGGAAGCTTGAAACTCCGGTGGGAAAGTTGCCTGTGGTAAGAGAGATTCACACTCACTCCTACGACAAGATAGAGTGCAATTGCTACCCAAAATGCAGGCCAGTTGAAATGAAATGGAGCTAAAAGAGTAAGCAAATGCAAAGCCGAAACGACGACTACTGAGCCTATGTCCACGACGTTCCATTCCCTCCCCAAAAATTCTACCCTCCACTGCGTCACCCACTCTCCCATTGGGCTTGCCACAAAACTCTAATGCTTTTGCTTCTTTTGTATCTTAATGACTAATGAGATTGCATGGAAATGAATGAAGAAGCTAGTGTATTTATAGATTCAAAATTTAATCTTTAGGTGGGCAATGCATTTTTTTTTGTTTGGAGTAAATTTTGTTTAATACTTAAAGAAAAGAGTAATACTAGAAGACCATTATTTCTTTTTTATCGTATTCATGTATCATGTACGTAATGTGACAATTAACACATATGACCAATATCTAATGAGATATACCTATTAATTAACATGACATGTGCACCTTATTTGTCACATCATGTGGTACATGAGCGTGGTAAAAAATTATGGTCTCCCAATTTTTTTTTTTTTAAAGAAAATGATTTAAGTGATGACCATTTGGTTTAAGACAGTAAGAAATAGTATGGTCACTATTATTTGTTTTACAATGAGGTTGGTAAAAGACTTATGAGTGTCAATCAGGTAATTATTAGCTACAACTAGGCTTTTCACCTCGTCTCATTATGTACAACTAATATCAATGACTATCGTTAAATTTGTAGCAGTGATATTCGTTTTTACAATGTTAAATATCAAACTAACTTGAAGAAGAAACAAACTCATATGGTAGGCTACCTTCATCAACTATTTTCGTATTAGTTTCTCTTAAATCTTATCACGTGTAGTTCTTTTTAACTTGAATGGCTAAAAAGGGAAAGTAATAGTTGACAAATCATAGGACACAAGATTTTTATGGCTATGTCTTTGTGCAATAATATACATATAGGGTTCAAAGTTTGAGGTGAGAGAAATCCCGTGGGCTATGTAGCCGAACCCATCCATCCCCTATAGTTCACGGCCCTATAATCTAGTAAAAAGCAAATTATCCCAAGAAAACGACACTCAACTGCCGAAGCATGAAAGCAGCCACAAGGCCCAAGAGAAAGAAATTCAAACCGGAGATGGCCCCATGAAAGGAAACCCAAAAAATCAAACAGAAATTCAAACCGGAGATGGCCCCATGAAAGGAAACCCAAAAAATCAAACGCGGCATCTCACTTCACACTCACAAAGCACCATTGGATGACCAACTACATATATACCACATGCACTTAATTATACGAATTGGTGTCAAGCTATCCAAATGATGATCTAGTTGTGGTTTAATTCAACATAAGAGGAATTCAGTTTGGTTTCAAAGTCGGTCAGGCAGCTAACTACTAATCAATACCTATAATTTAGAGCAAGTCATGTTATCCTTCTTGGATCTAACTTTCGGTTCTCAAGATATAATTAAAGTAGCTAAATAACCTTATATTCATAAGTTTCAAAAACAAAAATTTGGATTCGAGAAGGATACCAAACAACCATAAACTATCCGTGCAAACACGAGTTTAGTCAAGTTGGCTAGAGCAGTGTGCTCATTCTTATATATCCACATTTGAATCTCTGTCTCGTAGTTTAGATAAATTTAATATATAATTTTCTCTGTTGTAAAATTTTTAACCACATGCTGTCACTATGTGGACTATTAAATGCTTCAACACAGTTTAAGGTCACCTTTGATATGGTTATAATGTGAGTGTGTTGATTGATATATAACTGCCTAACAATGTAACAGTTATACAAAAAATTACAGGCGAATAGAGCTTTTTCATAATCACAATTAATAACATTGCTCTTGCGCACCTGCACATGCATGGAAACTAAACCCCAACCCCCAAAGAAAAAAGGGTCCGACTAATGCAGGCCAAATTTGACAAAATATGTTGTCTTTAAAGCTAAAACTCTTTATTTCAAATCAAGATTACTTCAAGCCTTTAGAAATCAAGGACTTGTAGTTTGTCAATGGTTACTTTATGTAGTATGTGGAGCAATTAATTTGGTGACTTTCATGCATGTTGTATTATTTGGTTCGTTGCAGACAGTAGTTCAGCAATTATTTGGAAGATCAAAGAACACTGGAGAAATGGGGCTAGCAAGGAATTAATAATGCAGTGGGATGGGCTAGCTGGAAAAAAAAAATGCCTTACTAATATTATTTCTGTTAAGCTGTGTGTATAGAATTTAATTCAGAGTCTGCATTGTAAGACATATTCTGAAATCACAACAATAAGATATTAGGATCACGAATAAATCAAATCAATATAAAATAGAGATTAACTAATTATAATTAAACTTATTTGTGGAATACGGAAGACATTGCAGATTTCTAGGTTGTCTTCTACTTCCAGTACTTCAATAATATCTCTCTGCTATACGAATAGAGTTTAGCGTATATGAGAGATTAAGCGTATGGAAGCAGGGACTTAACCATAGTATTTAGATCCTTAGGGTTTAATCACAGCCAGCTTATTATTGGTTGTGAAAGTCAAACCCTATCACTTAAGTTTTTAAGTCCCACCATGATACTATATCTTTGTAGTGAAATCCATCCGATTTCTTTAGGTCAATTGCAAATGATAAGATTCCATAATCCTTATTTCATTAGAACTATCAGATTACTTAAGTTGTTAACAACTCAATAAATAAGTGGCCTACAACGTAAGTAATCCATTACATCATTCATTGTCATTCACAACCTTACATGCATTAGATATGCAGAAGATCCATCAATATGATATATAGATGTTCTTATTAATTTCTCCACCGGTATGGTGGATGTGGGTTTACTTATCCGGGGCGTCTGCAAAAAGTTTTCGGTAGTTGATGACAAGATTTTAAAGAAACATATCAGCGATTCAGTTCTAATCACTCTATCCAGGAACTTGCATTTTACAATCTGTACATACTGGAGGCGTGAAAACTTGATGCATGCGATTGTTGAGAGTTGTCCCACATTGATGAGGGACAAAGTTTGTATATGTACTTACACGATCTTGGACTACTCCTCATATTGTTAATTGGTTTTATGATGGAACTTCAATTTCATTATGGTATCAGAGTGGGTTGTCATCGTGTGAAGCCAAACGGCCACATGCGCTCCACGTCACCTAGTTGTTGTCAACGTGTAGGCTTGAAAATCCGCCATACGTGCGGGAGCGTGTTGAGAGTTGTCCCACATCGGTGAGGGACAAAGTTTGCATATGTGCTTATATGATCTTGGGCTACTCCTCATATTGCCAATTGGTTTTATGGTGGAACCTCAATTTCATTAGCGATGATATTAGGAGTAGAATCATTGATAATTGATTTTGTTAATTCTCCGATCGCTGTGGAATTCTTTTATTCTTACACAATAGGTTTCTCAACGCTGCTCTAGCGAAAGCCGCATTTATCTTTACACATATAGTTTCAGTGTATGGTTCTGGATTCGAATGGTGAAAAATTCAAATACAATCTTGACGAAATATAACAAGCAGAACTACTTATATACATGTGTATATGTATAAATTTCATACATTTTTTTTACTACCTAAACACTTCTGAATTTATCCATAGAATCATGACATGACATAGATGGAGTCTTGGAGATACAATATTACAGTATCTTCACATTTCTCACAGATGGGCGGAGTAATCTTTGAACTAATTATTGTATAAAACCCAGAAGTATATAATATCAATCATTCCATTTTCTACTTTTCCTTCAAGCCTGATTGATTTTATTGGATAAAGCTCTTCTTTTCTTTTGAGTCTCAGTCGGAAGTTTTACGTCTGTAGCCAAAGCAACAGCTTGAAGAAATCTGATCACGTACCAAGTAACATCAATTTGCCACCATTCAAATCCATGCCGAGCTGAGAACTCAAATGCATGGTGATTATTGTGCCAACCTTCTCCATGTGTCAGCAATCCTAAGATCCTAATTCAGAGCCAAAACTGTTATCCATGTGAATCATAAAAATATGTTAATTTCATCCAAAGATGCATGCATGTTGTAGTGTACGCTAAAATACCAGTTGTTTTTAGACAAATCACCACTGTCCCATACTGCTTGCCCCCATGTGTGGCAAACCGAATTTAATCCAAATATAGCGTGGAGAAAAATTACCGTCCTCACGCCCTACACAACAAAGAAACCCTACTTAATTAATTATTGCAACAAAAAAAAAAAGATCAATTTTAACAATCAAATGGTAAAAAGTGTTAATTAGTTTTTTACCATTCCCCAAACTAAAAAGGGCATTCCTCCTATAGCATACAATACAACTCCAAGAGCAATTGAATGAAGGGGGTACGTATAATGAAGAAACCTATAGTATGGTTGGCTTTTTAAGTCTCCAACGTTCTTTAATCTAGCTTCATACTGCAAAAATATTTAAATTTAGTAAGTTTAATAAAATCCTAGTTCATAGGTGTTATGAGATGTATGTAGTTATAAATCTATGATAATCAACTAGTTAAAATTGAGTAAGAGATAGAGAGGTTTATACACTTCCAAACCGATTACGATAATCAATGGCCCAACCAATATGACTGAACCAGAATCCCTTAATAGGGCTATGGGGGTCTTTCAACGTGTCAGTAAATTGATGGTGAGCTCTGTGGATGCTCACCCACTCAAGTGGACTTCTCTGCAAACCATAAACAAAGTCTACTAAATAGTTTCTCGATTAAAATCGTGAATTATAAACTACAAATAAAATCCACAAAAATTTCCCCAGAAACATTATATTTCGACACACCTGAAGTGAAAGAACCCCACAATAAGCAAAGAAGTATTCAAGCCACTTTGGAAGAATAAAACTCCGGTGTGAAAGGTTCCTATGGAACGATAGGGTTACACCCACACCTGTGATAAAATAAAGTGCGACGGCCAGCCAAAACGCAGTCCAGTTGAAATGAAACGGTGCTAGAAGAGCAAGGTAATGCAAATAGGAAAGGCCAGCCAAAGTGGCGATATCGACAAAGTTCCATTGCCTCCCCCAAAACTCTATATGCCACTTCACCAGCCACCGATCCCAATCTATCATTAGATCGACGAAGTGTGTTTTGATTTGTAGCGAAGCTTTTTATTTAAAAACAATTTCTTTAGCAAATTAGTTTTTGGTAAACTCTACGTACGTATAAAATGGGATATTTGCATGGAAATGTGTAGTAATGTGTAATTATATATAAAGGTGGGGTGGAACTTGCAGTTGCAGGGAGGAAACTCATTTGTTTATATTACGTTAGTTGTTGGAAGACGACTGTCTTTGCCCCCAACAATATCACACAATTCACAAAAGCATGAATTTTAAAATAGAAGTGAAGAACGGAAGTACTTCTTTGCTCCAATCAAAACACAATAGCCAGCTAGCATTCATTTGAACTTTGAAGTCATACTTCACCTTATCCAAATAAAATGATTTTATATAGTTTTTAAAAAAACTAAAAACTCTTAAATAATAACGATTCATAGTAGAAGTATGGTGGACAAACAACGTAATGGTGGACAAACAACGTAATCACTTACTAACTTAATAAGTTTGTGATTTTGTCACAAAAAAGTCTTCGGAGTAATTAAAAGTGAAACAGCTCAATATAAATTTTGTTTCATTTTGTCAAGAAGATCAATGGAACGATATAGAGATACAAAAAAGAACTTGCACATGATTTTTATAGAGTTGAATAAAGCGTATAATAAGGGTCTCAAGAGAAATTGTTTGGAGGATTCTAGAGGAAAAGGGAGTACACGTAGCATGTATCCAAGCAATAAAAGAAATGTATGATGGAGCAAAAACAGCTATAAGAAGTTAAGAACTCATGAAAGACAAATTGAAAGTTTTCCCATAACCATATGGTTACACTAGGGCTCAGCTTTCAGCCTTTACCTTTTCGAATTGGTAATAGACGAGTTAATGAGCATATTTAAGATGATATCCCTTGGTGTATACTTCTTACATATGCTATAGGCTAATAGATGAAACGCAGGAGGGAGTAAATGTGAAACTTAACCTTTGGCGGAAAGTGTTTGAATCTAAAGGTCTTCGCCTAAGCATGTCAAATAAAGTATATGGAGTGCAAGTTCAATGGGAATGGGGTTCCAAATAAGATAAGGACGAGGATTGGTCAAGAAGTACCAAAGAGTGAACGTTTTCGTTATCTTGGATCTAACTTGCAAAAGAATGGAGAATTAGATGTAGATCTCAATCATAGAATATAAGCTAGATGGATGAAGTGGAAGAGTGCATTGGGTGTGTTATGTGCTTGTCATATGCCATTAAAGCTAAAGGAGAAATTTTATAGGACGACAAAAAGGTCAACAATGCTTTATGACACGAAATGTTGGACAGTAAAAAAGAAACATGTGCATAAAGTTAGTGGGCACATGAGAAAATATAGGATTATGAACGAGAACATTCGAGGTAAAGTGGAGTGGCTGCAATTTAAGATAAGATGGGAGAAAATTTGTTAAGACGGTTTGGATATGAACCAAAAACCTACAGATGATTCGATTAGAAGATGTGATTATGAAACAGAGACTCGGGCTAGTTAAAGGAATAGAGAAAGACCTAAGAAGACTAAGAAAGAGACTTTAAGAAATGATATGAAATACTTGAAACTAACGAAAAACTTAGTACAAAATCGAGCACAGTGATGTTCTAAGATATGAAGTATTTTGGTGGTTAGTTTGCAGCTAGCACTTCCAAGTTATCAGCTAACCCCTTGACCTTGTGGATGATAAATGTTATCAATTGCCCTTTTAAACTTACATAACTTTCTTTGCACACTTCCAAGCTGTCAACCAAACTTTCCATCACCACATTTTGAAAAGAAAAGAAAAACTTAAAATATATCATCACACGGATTTTGAAAACTCGAAGTAAACAATAAGTATATTTCCACTCATATGAATTAGAGAGTTTCAAACTTGGGTACATACAATTAAGCACTTTACTTTAACCAACTTAAATTTGTAAAGAAACGCTCAATTTACCAAAAAACTTAACTTGAGGAATAAAAATGTCAGTAAAAAGAATTTTGGACTTCGGATAATTTTTGGGATGTATATTGTAGTCGGTCATTTTCATGGAAGTTTGTAGGCAATTCAAAACCTTTTTCTAGCCACTCAGTACTACAGTCTAGTGATATTCCTCTTCGTTTAGAACTAAGAGGTCTTAGGTTCGAATCTTGTGGATAGCGAATTCGCAACCAAATTAGGCTGCCCATTATGTGGCTTAGCCGAACTCCTCCTCTACCTAATGTAAAAATATCGATGTACTAAAAAAAAAAATTCAAAACCCTTTTCTGGAAAAATATATAATGTCCCAAATTTTAATTGCGGTGTCCTTTTGTAGGGGAGGCCCACCCAATTACCTGTAGCATAACATGCGGGTAGCCATATACTAATTGTTTGTATCGGTTTTTTAATTTGGGCCAGGGAAACATAAATTTAATCACAGGCCCTACGTAGAAATAGCTGGGCCGGCATTAAAGAATGTAGAATAAAATTTTTGAATGCTAATAATAATTCTCTTATTTATAATACGCGGTTTCATATTTGTGATAGTCCAAGTGGTGACGATTTCATTTCAACATTAATATCAACTGAAAACAGAAAAGAAAGATCACCAAAAACACTGGTAAATTCTTAATAAAGCACTGGGGATGTTTCCGTGCCACCGACATTTCTAATTCTTAATAAATGCTATTAATTTGCTTCAGGAGATAAATAAAATATTAAATTTAATTGTGAAATGACCTAGTGGGGTTATGTTTGAAACTTAAAAAGTAGGGTTTTAAGTGATATGTCATCAATAAAATATAAACATGTTAATTAACAGTTAAGTAATAATTTAATTATCAATAACCATATCATTTGATTTACAAAATTTGGTCTCTCTACCACGGAAAATGATCCTCACCGGATCATTTTCCTGAAGATCCTGGGAATCCCATGATCGTGACCGTTCATATACATCGTACGATCAGAAATCATTTCAAAATTTAAAATTAAATATAAATAGTACCTAACGAAAACTGATCGCACGATGTACAATGAACGATGAACGATCACGATCACGAAATCTCTAGGATTTCCAAAAAAAAAAAAATCCGACGAGGATCCTTTTCCCTCACACTACCCATTCCTTAATATAATTTTTCTTAAAAGTCAGAATGGGTCCGGACCAGCTCCCATGGTGCCTCCGCCAGTTGATTCCAGTGAGATGCTCTAATTTGGTAGCAACTTGGTGTTCAGCTCAATCTTTGATTTCAGATGAAGGTGAACTCGTAATCACATAATTATGAACAATGTCATCATTGTAAATTAATTAAAAATATTATATGGTACATTGTCATGTTGAATATGACTTTCATATTGGATGATGTTTTTTATATACTCATTTTTAGCTCTCATATACTTATTTTAATTTTTAGTTATCAAATCGAATAAATTGAACAACATCAAATGACAAAAATTAACAAAGATAACACCACTCTTTCCTTTTCAACCCACTAAGTGACGATATAAAAAATTTATTCCCCTCATTTTAATATAACTTAAAGTAGTAAATATAATAAAAGAAATTAATTAAAGACTTTTCCTGTGGGGGTCCGAACAGATTTGAAATTGGTGAGCCACTTGTAGCAATATATTTCTAAAGCATCTATCTCGGACTTGAAAAAAACTTAATAAGTATTGGTATATGTCCACACATAAAGTGTGTGTAAATTTTTTATTTTTTATTTTTAAATCAAAATTGAAGAAGAGAGGAAGAGAATGAGAGAGAACATAGGAGTGAGGAGAGGGGGAGAGAGAGAAAAAGGTTTGGTTTATTTTTTATTTTTTATATTTTTAAATTAGAAATATTAAAATTACCTGCACATGAGGCTTAAACAAAAAACAACAAAATTTTGTTTTGTAAAATTACGTTACTACCCTTAACTATTTGTTAGTTTTGTTGATTGATAAAGAGGGTTATATTAATATGTAGTTTTTTTTTTTGGTTAAATGATAGATTTTGTTAGATTAGCTAACAACGGGGTTCGAACCCACGTCGACATGCAAATGCTCAAAACCTTTCCACCACTGTAATAAATGATCATTTGCGTATTAATATGTAGTTTAAATATATAAATCGACCAAAAAAGAAATAATATGAATATATAGAAAAGGTGCGTAATAATTAGTATGTTACAAGCCTAGGGTATGGGTACCCTTCACTCTATATAATATGCAAATTCATTCTGCACCATGCACTATCAAAATTAGCAACTGATAAATTAAGAAGAAGCAAAAGAAAGCAGAAGAGAATTAGGGTTTTGTGGCAAACCAAATGGGAGAGTGGGTGACGCAGTGGCGGGTAGAATTTTTGGGGAGGGAATGGAACTTTGTGGATATAGGCTCAGTAGTTGTCGTTTTTGCTTTGCATTTGCTTACTCTTTTAGCTCCATTCCATTTCACCTGGCCTGCATTTTGGGTGGCAGTTGCACTCTATTTTGTTGTAGGAGTGAGTGTAAATCTTTCTTACCACAGGCAACTTTCCCACCGGAGTTTCAAGCTTCCCAAATGGCTTGAATACTTCTTTGCTTACTGTGGAGTCCTATCATTTCAGGTATATATACTTTTATTTACGTTTGCAGACAAAAAATTTTCAGACTCGTTATTGTACTTTTTAATGTTCGCAGAGAAGTCCGCTTGAATGGGTGAGCATACACCGATCTCACCACCAATTTACAGATACATTGAAGGACCCTCATAGTCCCGTTAGAGGATTTTGGTATAGTCACATCGGTTGGATCTTCGATTTTCGGTCTCGGTTTGGAAGTGTATGAAACTCTTTAGCTCCCTCATAAGTAGTTCTTGCATACAATCACATGTATATGACTTTGTGCCTATCGCTCGCTTCCCTTAATAGGTCAGAGAGATAGTCACATGATTGTATATTAGCAGTTTGTAAGAGAAAAATCCCTTTGATGCACCGAACTAAGCAAATGGACATACCAATGATAATTTTTCTGAACTTTGAAATTTTGCAGTATGAAGCACGACTTAAGAACGTTGGAGACTTGAAAAGAGATCCATTCTACAGATTTCTTCATTATACGTACCCCCTTCATGCAATAAGTTTTGGAGTGCTGCTCTATGCTGTTGGAGGACTACCTTTTTTGGTCTGGGGGCTGGTAATTAAATATTGGCTCTTTTCTTTACTTTATAAGTGAAAGACTACCTTATTAGTCTAAAGGAAAAGTAACTTAGATAATTAGAACCATATTACTTCATGGTGACTTACTATTTGATTGTGGTAAATAATGGTACCTTTATTTTTGGATATGAACATATCAGTTATTCTTATCCATATATATATACACACAGATACATATTAACTTCTTGAGTGTTTTTTTTTTTTTGGTAGGGTGTAAGGTCAGTAATCTTTCTCCACGCTACTTTTGGAATAAATTCGATTTGCCACACATGGGGAAAACAAGTATGGAATACTGGTGATCTGTCTAGAAACAACTGGTAATTTTAGCTTTATGTGTGATGGAAAATCTTCTCCAAGTTGTATATATAGGTAATAGCTAACAATATAACAAATTTTGATTTCTGTACGTACGTACGTAGGTTAATTGGATTGATGGCTCATGGAGAAGGTTGGCACAATAATCACCACGCATTTGAACACTCAGCTCGGCATGGCTTGGAATGGTGGGAAATTGATGTTACGTGGTATGTAATAAGATTTCTTGAAATTATTGGTTTGGCAACAGAAGTACAGCGTCCTACTGAGACACAGAAGAAACGAAAAGCTTTATTAAGCAACAACGTGAACAACCAAACCAGGCAGCTCGAGGAAAAGCTTGAAACAGAAATCAATGGCGGAAAGATTTGAACAACAAAATCATGGAAGCTTGAATCTCGATCCAGCTATGAAGTTCATCTCAGCTGGATGCTTTATATGGTTTTATCTTACATCAATAAAAATCGTACTTCTCTAAAAAAATAAAAAAATAAAAGAGGCAGCCTATATGCTCCTCAAGAAAAAAAAAAAAAAAAAAAAAAAAAAAAAAATATATATATATATATATATAATAATGATATGTATACTTGTTAATAAAGCTGAAGTTTAATTACTTTCACTGTACTTTCCTCAAGCTGAAGTTTAATTACTTTCCCTGTACTTTCCTCAATTGACTAATGTTATGCATACTAATTAATTAAGATATTGAGTTGGAGTTGTATTTTCATTATACCTAGCATAAGAGTATATATCTGCGTGCATATACTATATGGTATTTAGGCTTTTCCGTATGTTCCTACATGAAATTTTTTACAAATATGAAAATGGTACTAAAAAAGTTCCACTTGTCATGCATGCAAGTGGTCAGAATACAAATTGAAGACTGTAAGGATATGTTTAATGGTATGGTGCTAATATGTCTTTCTAAAATTTTGACAATACTTATATATTTGTACACTATATTTTTTTTTGAACAAAATACGATATTCATTAAGCAATAAGAATTCGTACAAACTAAGGATAGTGTGCATAATGGGCCTTGATAAAAACCTTGCCGGAGATTTCAACCCGGTCGAAGGAAAATAGTGTCCCACACAAACAGAAAACCTATCCTCAAATGAACAATGAAACTTACAACTCTTCCTCAAACAGAATGTCATGAATTAAATCCGGAGGTTCCTTGAACCACACAATCTCCTGGGTACAATTAAGCCCTAATCGAGCAAGCCGATGAGGCGCCAAATTTCCTTCTCGATGCACATGACTAACCACCAATCTCGTCCTGTCCAAACAGAAATACCTCAGGTCGTTGATAATGGGTCCAAAATTAGACCTGTCTTCGCCTTGACCGGTCATGGCGGTCAATACCAAGACCACATCTCCTTCAAAGTGAACTTAGACATCAACCGAGTATATCCCTTTGACCAACTGTTCAGCGTGCCTAGCTGCTAAGAACTCTGCATGCAATGCTGACATTGATGAATCAATTGGACCAGCTGCAGCACCAAGAAACTCCCCCACATGATTGAGTAAAACAATTCCATATCCACCCCGGTGTTGATGTTGATTCCATGCTACCTCGAAATTGCACTTGACCCAACCCTCCACAGGTCGTTGCCACTTCTACACTTCCCGTCTACCTTTCCTTATGGCCGACTTATGACACCTGTGAAACTCTTACCATCCATCTGTCCGAAGGACAATCTTATCAGGGTTTAAGTGCTTACCATTCCATAAAACTTCGTTACGGTGTTTCCATAATGACCAAATCAGCATTAGACCAAGCTCAAAACCATCTGCAGATCCCTGTAACTGCATATTGGCCAACCAATTCAATAAACTCACACCATGCCCAGTATCCACCCTTAAACCCAAACCTCGAAACCATACCGCTCTAGCAACATGGCAATGACGCAAAATATGCTCTACGGATTCCACCTGGCACCCACACACAACACATCCATCCTCTACTGGCACCCTTCTCTTACAAAGATTTAACCTTGTAGGCAAAGAATCCAAACATGCCCGCCACACACAAATCTTTACTTTCCCGGGTACACCAGCCGTCCACAACTTATTCCAAAGCTTCTCCCCACCATTACTAGTATACGAATGCGAGCCAGCAGCCCATTCCCTACTAGCTGTAGGAATCACTCGAGCAACATGATAAGCATTTCGGACTGTAAATCTCCCATGGCGATCGTAATGCCAAACTTTGCAATCGCCAATATCAAGCACACTAAGTGGAATCCCTCGAATTAATTCCACTTCCTCCTGAGAAAAAAACGCACCCAACAAACTCTCATTCCATTGTTTTCCTTCCACCCTCATCAATCCTTCCACCGTGACTTCACCATTCCAATGTAATGGTGGCGGGGTCAGAATCCGAAGGCATGACTCATCGGCACCCAATTGTCTTTCCAAATACGAATCGTCCTCCCATTACCCACCTGCCACCGAAGTCCCTTGTGGAGCATCAGTCTCGAAATAGCAATACTACGCCAAACATATAAGCTATTAGATGTTACCCTAGCCTCAAGAAAATCTGTATTAGGGAAATACTGGACATTTAACACACGATACACCAAGGCCCCGAGATTTTGCAAGAATCACCAATCTTGCTTGGCTAATAGAGCCAAGTTAAAAGCATAAAGATCTATAAACCCAAGACCTCCCTCCTGCTTAGGCTTACATAACACCCTCCAACTAAGCCAACGTATTTTCCTTTTTCCCGAATCTCCACTCCACCAAAACTTAGCTATCATCATATTCAACTCCTCACGCATGCCAAGACTATCAGCAATAACTGCATATCATAAATATTGAGATTGAAACTGAATGAAACGCAACTCTTCTCAAAATTCACCGCTTGTCCAGAAGCCAACTCATACTTCTGCAACACTTATTTAATAACCTGACCTTCACGAATAGTACCCCGGGTAAAAAGAAAACAATCATCAGTGAAGAACAAGTGATGAATGCTAAAAGCTGCACGACACACCTTGATCCCATGTAACTTTCCTTCCCACTTGGCCTTAGACAAAAAGAGCCGATAGGCCTTCTGCACACAACACAAATAAGAAGGGGGAGAGAGGACCCCCTTGACGTATTCCTCTTTCTGGGTGCACATAACCTACCAGATCCCCATTTAACTTAAAAGAATAAATCATCGTTGAAACACACAACATGACCATACGGATACACCTGTCAGCGAATCCCAAACTTTGCATCACAGCCTCTAGAAACTTCCATTCCCGATCATAAGCCTTACTCATGTCTAATTTCAAAGCCATAAGCCCATTAAGCCCCGATGACCTTTTATGTATATAATGTGCAACCTCAGCAGCAACTAAGTAATTATCTGATATTAAGCTCCCCGGAATAAAAGCACTTTGAGTTATATAACCTGCGGAAGAATAAGCTTCAACCTGTTTGTGAGTACTGTGGATGCAAATTTCTTCCTTCTCGATCTTGGACGATTTTGCACCTACAAAACAATTAACACCTTAGGTTAAGGCCAAGAGCCTCACGCGCCCATGATGAATGGAGGGGGCTTTGGCCGAAGAACCTCCGATGCCAAAGTTAGAATTTAGAGAGAAAGAGTGTTTAGAGAATTTTGGGATTTTTGCCAAAAAGTGTTGGAATCAGCTTTTTGGTGAGAATGGGAGTATATTTATAGGGATAGGAGGTGGCTAGGGTTTTTAGGTTTAATTTAGGTTTAATTAGCCAATTTATTTGGCTATTAAACATAAGATGAATGTTTTGGTGGTTTTTGAATTTATTGGGTAATAAAAAGGAAGAAATGGTGAAAAAGGTAGAAAAAAGTGATGGATTAGGTTTTGAAATGGGGATAGCCGGCCATGTGGTGTTTTTAGGGTTGAATTGGATGTATTTTGTAGTTATTTGGATATAAATGGATGGTTTAATTGACAATTAATGGGTTAATTAGGCAATAAACCCATTAATTAGCCAATTAACATAATTTAAAAGGAATGTGTTTGGGAATTACCTTGTAGAAAGGATTTGATGAGATGGACTTTGAATTGTTACCTATTTTGGGCACTTCTGTCTTGGTTGAAAGAGGGTTGCCCGCTGCTTGCGCGTAGGAACCTCGTGGTACTGCAAGGGTATTTTTGTCATTTTTGTCTAAAAATCCACGTGTCGCCCTGTGAATATTTTTGGCTCCACAAATGCCCCCACACCTGTTGGGCTGCTCGCAGAAAATGGCAGCAGGTGTAGAGATCTTCTTGCTTTAGGAAACTTAGGACTGCTTCCTATTTTGATGTAGATTCTCTCTTTAATAGGAAATTAGATCATTCTAGGAAAGGGAAATAAATTTCTCTCAAAGCCTATTTAAATCCACCTTAAGTGGGTTATTAAATCAACTTTGGAGAGCGATTTATTCTACCTTACAAGAGAGAGATAGCTTAGAGGATATTTGTTCCCCCTCCTCTAGCAATCTTCTACATCTTGCCCGTGCAAAGGACCGTCTTTCGTTGATTTCTTCGTCTTCTTCGTGGGTAGTGCTACTGCGGGGCAGCCGTCGGGGTGGTGCGGCACGTCGGCTGGCATGGGCCAAGAGTCGACTCGGCATGGGCCGATGAGGTATTGTGGCAGGGACCACTGCTTTAAGCTGCTCGACTTGGCTAGAACCAAGGGCAGCTTGTGTGGCTGGGACCTCGGATTGTGGCACTGGGGCGCAGTGTTAGGCAAGTCACATGGCTCATGTCTTTTTAGGCTTTTGGACATGACTCGAGCTAGGCTGGTGATTGAGAGAAATGAAGAGGTTGCGAACCTCATGAACTGCTGGAATGTTGGGTTGAACTTCCCTGCTAGGTACCACGAATGACGTTGGCTACTTTAACTCTTTTCGTCAGGAGAAACGTGGGCTGTTCTCAAAAGATGAGAGGAATAGGATCAAAGCAGATGCACTGGCTCGTCCAATCACTGTTGTGGATCCTGCTGCAAGTGAAGGTGGGAAAATGGATATTCTCTGCTTGCTCAAGAGATGCTAGCTGAGAAAAAACCAAAGACTTCTTTCGCTGCTCATGAGGGTCCGCTTGCTACCAAGAGGTATGTGATTGACATGACTTCTTCCAATGGGAAGAAATGTAAGGCTGCTAGATCTGAGCATGTGGCGTCTTCCATGTTGAGAATGGCTAGTACAATTGTGGATAAGATTACTCAGCGTAAAGGTTTTATCATGCCCCCAGTGCCGAAGTCTGTACCAGGACGTTCTTTGGGAGCCAATTCTGGTTCACCTTTGTAGAGACTTGCTATTATGAAGAGTGGTAAGGTGGACTCTGCTGCTAAAGTGGCGCCAAAGCCTGCTCCCTTTGTTGCTGAGATTGATTCGCCTCAGATTCAAGATCTTAAGCTTGCAATTTCTGAGCTTCGTTTCGCTACTTATGCTAAGAAGAAAGTGGATGAGCTGTAGCGCGTCCGTGTTAGTCTGCTTAAGAAGAATGAGCAACTGAAGGGTGAGAAGGATGGGCTTGAGGTTTTAAGATCTTCTCTAT